AACACCGCCAATCCCCCCAATGGCACCACCACCCAATCAAAACCCTGCAGGGGGTTGTGAACAATGGGAAGCCCCTTCTGAACTTTGTAAGAAACACAAAGGATCAAGGGAATCCCATCCCCTGGGAAGGAGGGGCAGGAGGCTAACAGCTCCACTTAGAAAGTTACGGTGAAGCTCAGGTTGTAACAAAGCGCAAACAGATCGGAACCGCCCTTTTCTCATCGCACAAGCCCCAGATCCAGCTTCCCAGGAGGCGACAGCTGCGCAGTGACCCCACCAGAGCCAACGCGTGCGCGGGCACTGCCCGGCATCACACAGGGCAGAGCCTGAAACTATAAACCGTCCACAAGAAACCACGAGAGAAAACCTTAAGTCAGGCAGAGACCTCCTAGATGTGACATGAAAAACAGTCCGTGAAAGAACAAGTGGGCACACGGAGTTCATCGAGGTCTGCGGCACCGGCTGAGAGGGCAAGACAGGCTGCCAGTCACACTCTGAGACGCAAGGCCAGCGGCGGGGGGCGGGGACCCCAAGCCCAGCAGCCAGAGAAGCCGAAACAGGCGAAGATCTGAGAAGACCCCAGCACAGAGGACTCCCCACGACCAGGACGCGGCTACACCCCCCACATCCCGCCATCATGGCCACGGCAGCGGTGAGGACAGACTGCAGGGGGCTGTACACAGGGTGCCAAGGGGGCGCTGGGAACGTGCAGCTGGCATCAGCAGGGATGTAAATGGCACGGTCACTTTGGACAACAGTCGACAGTGTTTTTAAAACTTAATACTGTCCAACCACGTGACCCAGCCAGTCCAGCCCTGGCCTTTGCCCAGGAGAAAAGGGGAGACGCCCACGGAAGACGCGCACGGAGGCGCTCACTGCAGCTCCAGCCGGGACGGCCTCCACGGGAAACAGCCCCCGCGCCGCCCAGTGAGCAGAGAAGCTCGGTGCCACCCCGTGCGCCAGACAAGATGCTGGACCAAGGAGCCGGCGCAGAGGGCACACGCGGCAGGAGTCCATGGAAAATTCTGGAAAGTGCCCCCTATGCTGGGTTGGAGCCTTGGGGCCGGGCAGAGGGGAGGAGGGCTGGGGAAGCTCTCGGGGGTGGGGGTTGTCTTGACTATGGTGACGGCCCTGGGGAGGCCAACAGGACTCCAACGGGCACGTTCCACGTGCGTTCACCAGACGTGCTCACATCCGGGCTGTTCACCGAAAGGAGAGACCACGCTGAGCTCTCCTGGAGCTGCACCTGCGCGTCCCCCGGCCGGAGAGCTGACGGCTGCTGCAGGCCCCGCGAGGAGTGGCCCACCGGCCCGGGACCCACCTGCCCAGGACCATGTGGAACTGAGTCCGGCCACAACGCTCTTGGAGGGCTGGGTTCAGGCCCGCAGAGTCCACTCTCTGCCTTCGTGGGAAGCAGTGAGCAAAGCCCTACAGCAAAACGTTTAGAACAAAGACCCTTTTCTCACTGTGATGCCCAGCCCGGCTCACTGAGCGCCTGTGCCACTGCTCAGGGGCCATGGTCCGGGGCCACTACCTGGGGGAGCACACGGGCACCTTGCACTGTCACCTTTACTTCCAACCTGTGCAAACCCCGAATCCCACAGGCCCAGAGTGCAGGCTGCAAGGGGCCCCGAGGGCGGGTGGAGATGCCCCAGCCGGCCGTGTCCATGGCCCTGGCCTGTGCCTGCCACGCCACGTACCTGTCGTTGAGAAGGTTGTCCTCGAAGACCTGCAGGAGGGTCCCACTGAAGCTCTCCAGGGCCTGCGGGTCATTCTGAATGCCCTTCATGTGCGCGAACAGGCTCTGGGTGGAGTGCCTGACCTGCAACACAGGGACCGTCCTCGTCCTCGTCCTGCCGTGAGGCCGCCCCTTCCCACCACCTGCCCCTGGGCCGGTCGCAGCGGCACACAGAGTGCCCGGTGGCAGAGGAGGCTGAGCCCCAGAGGGTAGGGCCCTTGCCAACACCCAGCCAGACCAGCATGAGCCGGACCACAGCAAACACCTGACACGGAAACGCTCCCTCCAGGCGGCAGCACCGCCCGAACCCTCACTCACACGCTATCACTCAATGGATAGCCTCAGTAGGGTGGTCAGGGGCTCCCCGGGAAACAGGGCAGGAGGCCTGAGCGGGGCCTGCAGACTAGAGGAAGGGAGTGACCCCTGCAGAGGAGCCGCACCGAGGCAGCAAGACTGGGAGCAGCAGGCAGCCAGGGGTCCGAGACTGGACGCCAGCAGCCACCAGCTGACAAGGAAGCTGAGAGACGGACGTTGGGGACAGCAGCTCTGACCAGCCCTGCCGCATGCCCAGTGGCCTGGGGCCGGCCACAGCTGGTGTCTGCAGGCAGCTTCCCTCGATCACCAAACGGAGAGGGTGAGCCCGGGAATGAGTCAGCAGAAGCAGAGGACAGACCTAGACCTGCCCCACCCTGTGGGCACCACTTTTAGGACAGAATATAGGAGAATGCTATGACTGATTTTTAAAGACAAAAGCACAATTATAAAGATGAACCTATGATGAACACGCATGAGAAACAGATTTCAGAACAAAGGGAATGACTGGTAACAAAAAATACAATCGGTGAAACCCAAATCTCACAGGGGAGACCAGCGCAGCCGACAGAAAGCTGCGAGGGAGGCAGACCCGGCGAGGACGCGGGCCCAGCAGAGAACAGACGTGGAGGAAGCGGGAGAGCAGGGCAGGCGGGAGAAGATGGGCTGAGACTGTCCCCAAAGTGCCAAGAACTCTGGACCCAACAATTCACAAAACAACGCATCCCCACCGGACCCATCGCAGTGGAACCGAACCCCAGGTGTCACGTCCCACTGCAGCGGCGGAAGTGCGGACAGGCACATGGACCACAAGGACGGAAGTGGGAGGGGCTCCGCAGGTCAAACCGACCCTTTTTAAAAACTCTGAGTCTACTTGAAGGAGAAGTCGTGGTGAGATTGAGAATTAAACCACTGAGGGTTTGTGGATTTCAGAGAGGAAGGGAGAGGGGGAGAGAGAGAGAAACATCAATGATGAGAGAATCATCGACGGGCTGCCTCCTGCACGCCCCACACTGGGAATCAAGCCCACAACCCGGGCCTGTGCCCTGACCTGGAATTGAACTGTGACCTCCTGGTTCCTAGGACGACCACTGAGCCACGCCCGCCAGGCTAAGCCGACACCTTTTGAGGGTCAGGGAGTGTGTGAGCACCACACCAGCAGAAACATGACAACAGAAACTGGAAACACGGCCTCCCCGGGAAACACCACGCACAGAAGGAAAGGAACCCAGAGCACCAGGGCCAGCCGGCCGTGGGCAGGTGGTGGCAAATGTGGCAGCACAGGGCGGGGACCGGACCATAGAGCACGATGGCGGCTGAACTGTGCGCCGGGAACAGGAATTCGCCACAATGTCCCGGCTCCTGAGCTCCCCTCCTCAGAGGTGGGGGTTCCCCAAGCCGCCCTGGGGACCCTGCCCCGGGAGCCTGAGGCCAGGAAAGGAGCTGTGGCGGTGACATGGTTTCCCCAGGGCAGCCCCGGCAGCGCACGTCCCAACCCCATGGAGACGTGCTGCCCCAGCTCCAGGACAAACACCCACCCAAAGCCACTCGATTGGGAAAGAGGCCGGGCCAGACGCATGCTAACCGTGGACTCTGTGAGGCCACCCACGGACACGGCCAGCCCCAGCAGCACATGGTAGCGGTAGGCAGGCAGCCCCAGCAGCTGAGTGATGCGAGGGAAGGCCTGGGATGGTGCGGTCCAGTTGACAGAGGCGGCCTCGGACCTGCAAGAGAGCCACAAGCTGGAGGGGCCTGCCCTGCCGCCCACCGCGATCCGGCACCCGGACCCTCCGTACCTGGGGAAGAGCTGTTCCAGTTCTGCCCGGTGGGGCACGTGGGGGACGGTGGGGCCGGCTGAGCCGGCCGCGTGCAGCAGCGTCATGAACACGTGGGCAGCGTGTGCACGGAAGTGGTCTATCTTCTCGCTGGCCTGCTGGGCCAGGCAGCACATGACCTGCTGGCAGCTGCAAACCAAGAGCCCAACGGTAGCACAGCTCCAACCCGAGGGCGCCCGCGACACGGCTGCAGGTCAGCACGGGCCTGGCTCCCTGCCCACACGGCAGGGCCCCCACCAGAGCTGAGCTGCCCCCAGGAGCCTAAATGCCAGGTCTTGGGTAGAAGCAGTGAGGACACACAGGCTCCAGGTGGGCAGCAGGTGGGGATGGGGCACAGGGAAGGAGGCAGAAAAGACAGGGACAAGAAGGGGGACACGGAAGAAAAGGGCAGGAGGAGGAAGGGAAGGGCGGGCGAGGGCAGGTGGGGCTCGGGAAAAGGGATTTCCACAGACGCAGCAGCCCTGCAGAGGGCATGGAGACGCCGCAAGTGAGGTGCCCAGGGGCAGCCCATGTCCCGGGAACTGACAGGAGAGGGGACAGCCAGGCCCCCAGCTAGAACAGGCACTTAGGTGCAAGGGCCCAAAGCCTGAGGAGTGGCCCCTGCCCTGGCCTCGCCCAGGAATGGCTGTCCCCCTGCCGGCCTGAGCCCCGATGGAGGGAGAGACCTGGGCCTGAGCCGCGGGGTCAGGAGACGGGTCAGGACAGACCCTCTCCAGGCACAGGTGGGTGCACCCCAACACTCACGTGGGAGCGTCGATCAGCTCTGGCTGGTCCCTCCCCAGTAGAAGTGTCAGGTCCATCAGACTGGTCATGGCGGCCTCGCGGACCCTGAGGGACAAGGAGGGACGGGGGGTGGGGGGGGAGAGTGAGGAGACCGCTCCCGAGCTGGAGGTGCCCGTCAGCCTCGTGCGGGAAGGGGACTCGGAGGCCTCACCGGACGCACGTGATCAGAAGCCCCTACGCGCAGCCCTCCCCCGAGAGCGCTTCCTCTGCGACAGGCGGACGAGGACGTGCCCGCAGCCAGCGGGTCCCGGCCAGCGGGCGGGGTGCTCGCAGGAACAGCACTGGTCTTCCAAGAACTTTTAATGCCAAACACGCCCGCCCCACAAAGCTCTGTCCCGCAGAACCTCGAGGGCCTGGCCTTCCTTCCCTGGGAGGACGGGCAGAGCGGCTCCTTCCCGCTGCCCCGGGGCCCCCAGACCAGGGCGCTCTCCACTCGGAACACACTGTCCAGAGCAGCTCCCGGGAAAGGAGACAAACTGATACAACTTGCAAAGCTGCGCTCACACTAGGACTGGCCTAACTCCACAAAGTACATGTTTAACTTGGGACAATGTGCACTCAACCAGGTAGGACACCGCTGGGCCACAGGGAGCATGGATACAACGGCCCCACAGGCCTGGGGCACCCACCCTCCCACCAGGAGTGAATGGGGCCCATCGGGGAGGCAGCCTGTGCTGCTCGGAGTGAAGAGGGGGGCAGGGTGTGGGCCTCAGCCCAGGGGAGGCCCAGGAGGGAGGTGCTGAGTGCAGGCACAGCGTGCTCAGAGGTGCAAGGCGGACGCAGGCCAGAGGCTGACAGGAACGAGTGGCTCAGATGCCAGGGCACAGCCACCGGCAAACCGCTACTCAGGACACATGCTCTCTGGAGGCGCCAGGGAGCAGGCAGAGTGTGGGAGCAGGGAAGACCCCCATCTCTGTGGGCGCAGCACTCACAGGGAAAGGCTGGGGGAGGGACACGGGGACCCGAACCTGCACACACCGCAGGGCCCTCGCCAGCTCCTAACTGGTCAAGCACAGGTGAGGGTCCGCGGTCCTGAAGTCAGCAGCTGGGGGACGTGTGAGCAGGAGGAAGGCCCTGGGGACTGAGGCCCCTCAGCCGGGGCTGCAGACACAGGCCACGCCCTGGGGTGTAGGCAGGAGAAAGGGCCGGCCCAGCCGCTGCTGAGGGCACTCGGCGACCTGGCCCCCCACGTGGGCCTCACGTAAGGAAACCTACCACCTGCTCAAAGGAAATTATACAACCCAAAGCCTCTACAGTTCTGAACTCACAATCTCTGGATTTAGTTAAAAATTAAAAGGAATGTTAAAAAAAAAAGACCGCCCAGCTAGTGTGGCTCAGTGGTTGAGCATCGACCTATGAACCAGGAAGTCACAAGTTCGATCCCCGGTCAGGGCACAGGCCCGGGTTGCAGGGTCCATCCCCAGTGTGGGGTGTGCAGGAGGCAGCCGATCAGTGGTTCTCTCAGCATGGACGTTCCTCTTTCTCTCTCCCTCTCCCTTCCTCTCTGAAATCAATAAAAATACATTTTAAAAAAGGAAGACCAAGTGCTAAAGCGATGAGAGACGACAACAGAAACAGACCCGGGTGCCAGGTGCTGGTGTGATGGGTCGAGTCCTTAAAATAACCTCGAGGAACATGCTGAAGAGAAAAAAGCGGAAACAACAATGACTTTCTGCCAAGAATGAGAATCTCTGAAGACGGACCAAGCACTACAGAACTCGGACCCACTCTCTGAAACACCTTCAGGGGGACTGTGCTCTGGCCCGAGTCATCCTGTCACCCACACGCCCGGCATGCCTGGGCTCTGGCACGACGGGACCCTGGGGGGACCCTGGAGGGAGCCTTCCTCCCTACTTCACTGTGTGCTCTGAAGGCAACCACAGCAGCAGCTGGAAGACCAGGGAAAGCCCACCGCCCTCCTGGACGGGCGCGCAGGCCGCCTCACCACGCGCCCACGTCCCCGCGGCTGTCGGTGGTGTAGTCGCGCAGACAGTCCAGCAGCGTGCTGTAAATCTGGGACACGTTCCCTTTGCACACGACCTCATCCGGGGTCCCTTCTGCTCTCACACCCACAGTTTGGCAAATCCTGGAATTAGAAACAGCTCGTGTCCGCCCGTCCCTCCAGCCCAATGGGCTTCTCCTCACAGGTCACGCTCAGAGCAGACTGGCACCTCCGAGGAGCTCCGACGCCCAGCGTTCCTTCCCGCTACCGCCACCTCTTCTCCGAACCACACTCTCCAGTGTCTACAGCTTAGAGGGCGAGTTGTGCCTGGGCCTTCCTGCCCTCTGTCTGGGCAGAAAGGGGACCGTGTGCCATCGGGGCCTGGACAGCATGTGGGCTCCACACAGCTGGTGGGGGGGGGGGGGGGCGCAGACAGCGCATCCTACACGCATGCGTTTGTGACTAAGCACCAGACACCACGCGCACTGTCCTGCCCTCGTCCTTGGGGTTGCCCATCTTTAAAGTGGTCCCGTGTCCTAAAGGGATGGAGCGAGCAGACCATGGGCTGCATGTTTCCTAGAATTAGGACAGAACTGCTAACAAGCCTGAGTTGGAAATGCTCTTTCCAATCCTTCACACAGAGAAGAAACTAGAAAATAAGGAACAGCGTTTGCCTCTAGCAGACGGGTCACTGAGAACAGGCTCCAAAGGACCAGCTGTGGACCGCCCTGGACTTGGGGGACGGAGACCCACCTGGCGATGGCCTTCACGGCATCCCGCCGGGACTCCGCGAAGCTCACGTCCTCCGAGGAAAGGGTGACGGCTCTTAACCCCACGAGAACCTGAAAGGCAGTGACCAGTCACCCCGACGAGATCCACGCACTTTCCCGCAAGTGGAGGCTCAGCCCTGGTGCTGCTGCCCGAAGGAGCCAAGTGCCTGCCCCGTCCTGGCCGGGACCCTGCGCGCTCTGTCCCGTCATCAGGCAGCAGCTCGGCTGCAAGTCAGGTGCTGTCTGTGGACCCTCCCCAGGGAGAGATTTCAAGTCCGTCTGGGGGTGGACCTGAGAGACACCGGGCAGGGACGTGTGCCACCCGGCCCCACGCATGTGTATGGTCTCACACGCGCCATCGTCTCGCACGGACCCCCTTCCACGCTCAGCTCAGCCTCACCTGCTGGAGCCTGCCTCGCAGCAGGAAGCCAGGGAGGGCGCCCAAGGCCATGGCGAAGCCGCAGCGCGTCATCTCCTCCGGGCTCTGCAGTTCGGCGAGATACTTCTCCACCAGCCCCTCTGAAAAGAAGCCACAGGGTGGGTGACCCACTGCGGCCCAGGGTTTCCTTACCTGCTCTTCACAGACGTTTCAGAAGCAGGAGCCAAATGGCGTCCAGAGAGAGAAGGGAGGAAGGACTCGGGCTTCAGGAGCAGATGTGGTTTCAAAGTGGAATCAATCAAGAGATTTATAGAAATTTTATTGGGTGGTTTTAAGGTTTTCGTGAGCAATTCCAACAAATGATTTCACTTAGAAAAATAACTCCACGAGGGCGTTGAGAATGGTCCACACAGTCGTAATTCTCACTGTTTACTCACTGAGAACACAAATGCTCATTGTGGAGACGTCTTCCTCAAATGCAGGCAAACGCCCTGGCAGGTGGCTCCGTCGCTGGAGCATCGTCCCACACACCAGCAGGTGGCGGGTTGATGCCCAGTCAGGGCACATGCCCGGGTTGCGGGCTCGACCCCCAGGAGGGGCATGCAGAAGGCAGCCAATTGATGATTCTCTCTCATCACTGATGTTTCTATCTTTCTCTCCCTCTCCCTTCCTCTCTAAAATCAATAAAAATGTATTTAAAAAATAAAGTTCCATTTGTTCATACACTACACTGACACCTATGGTGGAACTTAGAGAAGACACCAGTAACAATATGAAAAAACCCACCTCCCTCCCCCCTTACAATTCACATGCGTTTCCAAGGTCATTTCTGAGTGTTATTTCTTTCTGTCTTCAGGATGGTGTGATGCACTTTTCTTAGGCAAAAAGCAAAACTTGATCTTATCCCAATTTTAAAAATAGACGAAATACAAAACATTACTGTCTCTTCAAGTTAAACTGCCCATGGAAAGGAGATCTAGTAAAACACTATTAACTTGGAAAGTCTGACTCATGTTCACATTCAACAACCTAAAACAGCGTTTCCCATGCACCTGAGGGGCTGCACAGCGTGCCCCACGGAGCAGCAGGGCAGCCACAGGCAACATGGCACGTGAGCACGGAGCTTCCTGATAAGAGCAACACTCGTGAGCGGATCCCAGGAACGGCCTCGGCGAGGGGTCAGGGGCGCTGCAGCGTGGAGGGTTCTGGGAAACACGCCGGAGCCGGGCTGTGTGGCGAGGCAGCGGCACGCTCGCTGTCCCCATGAAGAGGAAGGACACGCGCTGGAAACATGCTGCCGTGGTGCACAGAAAATTCTAAGAACACATTTTACCATAAAATACAAAAGCCAGTGACGTCATCGTGCCTGTGGACGGAGCCCCAGGAGAAGCACGGAGCCAGCAGGACGGCAAGCAGACGCTCAGTGCAGAGCCAGGGAGGGGCATCCGAGCCAACTCACAGAGGCAGTGAGAACGAAGGCGATGAGGACCCCAACAGAAGGGAAAGGCAGCTCCCTACACAGAGCTGCAGCCTCCAGAGCCCAGAGCGGGAAGAGCTCCCGTAAAGTGGACGTGAGCAGACGCTGCTGGGACAAGAGCTGACTCCATGCGCTAAACAGGAACGTCGTGTCCCTGGGACGTTCGCACGGGAAAGCCGGCACCGAGAGAGACGTCGGAGCGGGAGACAGCCAGCCTCTCCTGCACAGCCTGCCAGCCTGGGGCGGGAGAGCGGGCAGGCCCGGAGGCGCCAGCGCCCACCCGTCCCTGCTAACCTGCGTGTGCACGCTGCGGTGGAGGAAGGGAGCCGAAACCAAAACCCAGACCCCGAGCTCCCCTCCACGCCCCCGAGGGCCCGAGGGTCAGCACGACAGCCACTCACCCTGCCCAGCGGAGTCCGCCTTCCCCGGCTCCGCCGCGTAGTACTCGCTGCAGAGAGCGGCCAGGGCGGAGACAGCTGCTTCCTAGAACCGAACAGGACAGGAGCGCCTCAGCCTCCCAGGAACCACGGGGGCGGCCGGGCTGCTCCGCAGTCAGACACAGAAATAAACTACATCCTTCCTTCCAGCGCGACTGTGTGCGTCACCTGTCAGGTAGGTAAAACTTTAACATTTTTTGCAGATAATAAACTGAATAGGAAACTTGATTATTTCTTCCAAACAATGCAAACTCCATGTCTTATCACATGAGCAGCTAATAACAGAATGGGCACTTCTCTTTCCCAGCAGAGGTGATGAAGGAAAAGGCATGTGCAACATGGGCAAGAGCTCTGAGCAGGCTGTGCAGGGCCTTTTTAGAGAGGACCTGGGGGCCCAGGGGCCTGGGAACAGGAAGGCCCTCAGCACCGACCCCCAGGCAGAGCCACACGGAGGGGGAGGGAGGGAGTGGGGAGAGCAGGGGGGTGACAGGGACTCCAGGTCCTCTCCTGAACTCCTGGCTACAGAGGGACCTGCAAAGAGCCAACACGAGACTCCTGCGTCCTCTCCACTCGCCAGATCGGGAGCAAGGCCACGGAGCTGCCAGGAAAGAGCTGCTGGGGCCGGGCAGGAGGGCCATGAACGCGGGGAGGGAGCTCAGAACGAGGTGTCACTGGTACCAATCAGGGCAGCAGGCTGCTCCGGGATCACTGCTTCTATGAATGTTATGGGTGTTTTAAAAGGAAAGTTTGCAGCACTGATCCTGAGGCGCTCAAATTCAACTAGTAAAACGGTGCTTCAATCCTACAGAATGGCAAAGTTACCCTTAAAAAGGGCTGACGAAGCCTCCTATAACCCAGCAGAAATGCTGAGACACACAGGAGAGAATTACACCCTCATTTCTTCATCCGCAGTACGAAGCCGAGTCCCTCCCAATGTCCTGGTGATGGTCACTGTGCGGGGAGAGGAACAGTTCTGCACCCCACACCCAGCGGGCCCTCAACCACCGGGACGCACACTCCTTCAGAAACGCCAACTTGGCATGCGTGGTGGGACTGGCATCGCACACGCAGCTTCCACCCCTAAAGCCCTACAGAGCCACAGAGTCACTATCGATGTGCAGGAAAAACGCTAGGCGAACAGGATCAATCCAGAACAGGAACTTAAAAGTTGCCCGTTCTGGTCACCAACAGCTGAGTTCGTTTTCCTGGTTACATGTTACATGGACAACACCATCCAGAAGCCCAAACAAAACTGTGGCATCGTTCAGTTACCCATCAGTGCACAAAAGGGGCCATAACGCAGTCTCTGGAAACAAACGCTAAAGCAGTAATGTCGTTCTCAGCACAGCGCAGCCACTGGGAAACCCCGCTCCCCGCACCTTGATCTGCTGCCTGGAATGACTGGACACATGGTGGAGGTTTCTCAAGGTGTCACTGATCAGCCACTGCCAACCGTCTGTCACAGAAACAGAGAAGACCATTGCCCAGTTAAGAACAGTTAGAAATTAAAGTCAACAACAAACAGATCTTCTACCTCTTAAATCAACGCAGATGGTAAACAAGAGGTGAGTCTGGAGAAAATCTGAACTGAGCTTTCTCCAGGTTGTACAAATTCCAAAGGCCCTTGGTTTAAAGGGGGAAAGTCTCCTTTTTGCTGCTGAAATGCTAGAACTCTTACCATGGGAAATTTCGTTTTGTTTTGTTCTGTGGATCCTCACCCGAGGATACTTTTTCCAACGATTTTTAGAGAGAGTAGAAAGGAGGGGGAGAGACAGAGAGAAACATCGAGGTGAGAGAGACACATCGACTGGTTGCCTCCCGCACGCACCCGACCAGGGTGGCGGAGGCGGAGTACGTGCCCTTTGACAGGAATCAAACCCAGGACCCTTCAGTCTGAGGGCTGACACTCTATCCACTGAGCCAAACCTGGAAAACTTTTGTTCTTTTATTACACCTACCAACTTCAGGTGGTCTTCTCCTGTACCTCTCCCTCAAACAACTCCCTCCAGTCCCGCCCCACCCCCCGCCAATCAAAACCCAAACATTCCACTCAATTAGATCCACCCTCTGGCAACGAATGCTGACCCTACACAGCTCTCCTGAGGCTGCAGAACCAAGGCAGCCACAGGGCAGCCCTCCTCCTGCCTCTTCCTCCCGCCTCTCGTGGCTGCCTGTTCACACAACCAGGAAAGGTCCTGCTTGCTGGACAGGACGGCTGCCCCGGGCACGGGACCTGCACAGGGGCCTGGCCGCTGCCCCCACGAGAGCAGGTTCTCCCACATCCTGCCCCAGTGGCCTTGGCACCTGCTGCTGCCTCCCCCGGTCCTGCGAGGGCCTGCGCCACACCAGGGCTCTGAGGAAGGAGCAGGTCTCAGGGAAGGGAGGGACTGTTTTTGAGGGTGTGTGGCTGATGCCCGTCATTTACAATCGGCTCTGGCAGCAGTTTCAAAGCCAGGATTCCACTACCAGGAAGCGATCACTGTCCTACCAGGCTCATCGTCACTTGCCATGTGGAGCGGTTCTGAAAGAAAAGGCTACACGGTGAGCACTGAAGAAAAGCACTTACCGATTACGGCGTCACCCCTGAAGGGCATCTTGGAAAGGGACAGGTTTTCTATTAAAACGCACACTAGGAGGAGAAAGGGTGAATGCAGGAGGGCACGCCTGTCCCATCAGGACTACGAGCCCCACCGCCCGCCCGCCCGCCTGCTCCTGGGGGAGGCACTCTCCAGGACCTGAGCCCAGGGCATGGTCAGACTGACCTGGCACCTACTCAGCCCACCAGAGAAGCGGTTGAGTCTGAGTCTTCTAGGTTTACTTAAAAATGCGTCAGAAAATCTAGGGATGTTGGCTTCATTTGAGTTCCTTGCAGAGTTTAAATATAATCTAAAAAGTTACTCCTTGCTCTACAGTTAAATGTTGCTGAAGAGGCTAAGATAGCAACACTCGGTCCCTCACCACCATCCCTTCCTGAAAGACACACCATGCCCCTCTCACCCGCCCCATCCTGGCCGCTGCCATTGGGAAGCCCTGGTCCCCGCACCTCGATCTGTTGTCTGGAATGACTGGGCACATGGTGAAGTCAAGTGAACCCCGGCAGCGGGCCAGGCCCGGGGTCCTGGGAAGGGCACGCTCACGCCACGGTATTGAGAGCGGCAAACGCCCTTCGGACTCTCCCCACCCCATGGCGGGGAAGAGGGGGTGCAACCCACAACCCGCAGCCTCCCGTGCTCAGACCTACCTGCTTGTCGCATGAGCTCTCCTCCGAGACCCCTGAAAATTAATACAAAAAGGGTTAAAGTACCTTATTATATAAAACAACATAAAATATCCTCACCAAGTAACAGGTACCACTTCAGGCTCCAAACATTATTAAGATGTCACCGAGCAGCATCTGTCAGGGCACGGAGGAGCTACTTGGGGGCGAGGGCACTTACAAAGGTTTTCATGTGCCAGCAACTGCTCAATGCTCACATACCTTATTTCAACTACTTTTTATATAAAACCTTCTTCATTGAGCAGGTTTTCTGTAAAGCTCGTCTGTGTATTGTTTGGCAAGACCTATACTGAAGAGTGGGTTTCTTTTTTTCTAACTGAACTTTTCCCACTTACAGGTGATGTTCGGTATCACTGTGTATCACTTTTCCTTGTGAGAAGCTGCCTTTTCACAGGAAGAAACGAAAAGACTCCTGGAAGCAGCTCCCAGGTGTCCCAAGTCCTAGCTGGGGCCCCTCTGACTTGCCATTTTCACTGCAGTCCTTCTGGCGTCAATTACATCAAAGAGTCCCACAGATCAAACCCCAACACTGTTCAACTCTCACTTTGTCAAAACTAGAGGAATTTAATGCCTGGCCAGTTTGGTCCCGGGTTTGATTCCAGTCAAGGGCATGTAGCTTGGCTGCAGGTTCCATCCTCAGTCCCTGGTCGGGGGTGCGTGTGGGTGGCAACCAATCGACGTATCTCTCTTACATCGATGTTTCTCTCTCTGTCTCTTCCCCTTCCTTCCACTCTCTGAAAACACCCTCGGGTGAGGATCAACAAACAAACAAGCAACGACAGGAATCTGAGACGCCAGGAAGATGCCGTCATCCAGCCCAGGAAGCATCGCCCTGCCTTCCGTTGCGAACAAAACCCGAGAGGAGAGCCTGGCTATCTTGCCGGCTCTCAGTCACATCAAATCGATGTCTAACGCCGACAACAGGAAACTGGTGAACACGAACGTAAGAACCACTCGCGAAGACAGAACATCGCTTCACCAGACTTTGGCTTCTGGCCCAGACAGAGAAGGGGACCCAGATTTGCTCTCTGCCTTAAATATCAGAGACGTGGATGGAGCAGATGAAACCGTTTCAGAGGCTGGAAAACGGAGGTCTGGGAAGAGGAACACCGGGCACAGCTGGGAATACCCAGCTCAGCGAGTGCAGCGCCAGCTGGGGGGAGGAGGGGTCCAGTGTGAGCAGAAAGGGTCCCCGTCCTACACCTGCAAGCTCAGAGGCAGCCTCACCAGCTCAGGGACCAAAGGTTACCGCACAGAACGGTCTGAACAGCCCGTCCTCACCAACAGCAGGTCACGGCGGGGTCACGTCCTGGGCCTGCAGCTTCCCTGACAAAGGTCAGCCTTCACCTCAAGTGAGCCTACGGCCTTTGTGCATCTGCGATAACAAACCTCCGGAACGTCAGAGGAATCTCCGTTTCAGAGCCCGCAGGGCCCTCCCAGAGCACGAGACTGCAGAACCCCTCGCTGCTATCTCGCTGCCTCATAGCATCTCCATGTGCTGTAAAGGGCATCGACTGTCCGGTACCTGCCGCTGGTGTGAAAGAATGTGTCTTGCCGGTTTACTCTTATCCAGCTCAGAGATTTCCCCGCTCGGCTCTCTCCCGTCCCCCTAATTTACCAGTGGATTTCATGTGACCCTACTTTCATCTCCTCCTTTGATTCTCATGTTTCCAATAAGCTGCTAAACTACCTTTCTCCGGAGCATTTTCTCAATCTGTTGAGATTTTGCTTCCCAGAAACTGTCATCAGTTTGGCTCCAATAAACTCATAAAAATTCTCTACAGGTTTGGATATTCCTGATGTCGACACCCGCATGGGTAAGGCCGGTCTGACCCCTGCACAGGCCCAGGCTCTCAGGAAAGCTGGAGGTGGTAAGAGATGTCAAGAACAGAGAGGCTGACGTGCACAACCCTGCACCGAAGGGTTGCAGGTTCAATCCCTGGCCCTTCTCAGGGCACGTGTGGGGGGCAATCAATCTATGTGTCTCTCTCATACCACCCCCCCCCGCGCGCTCTCTCTTCCTCTTCCCTCACCCTCCCTTCGCTCTTTCTGAAAATCAATGGAGAAAATACCCTTGAGTGAGGGTTAATGACAACAACTACAAAAGCCACTAAGAATGCCCTGGCTGGTGTGGCTCAGCTGGGCAGCGTTCCATGCGCTGAAAGGTTGCTGGTTCAACTCCCCTCAGGGCACATGCCTGGGTTGTGGGCTCAATCCCTGGTAGGCGTGCAGGAGGCAGCCAATTGATGTTTCACTCTCACATCGATGTTTCTCACTCTCTCCCTCTCCCTTCCTCTTTCTCTGTTAAAAAAAAAAATCAATAAAATTAAAGTCACTAAGAAAAATGAATAGGCAAACCACAGACAGGGAGAAAATGCTAGGAAATCTTCTATGTCTACAAAGAGCTCATACCCAGGATATATAAGAACGCTGACAGCTCAGTAAGAAGAAGACAGATCATGAGATTATTTTAATGAGCAGAAGACCGGAAGCGTCTCTTCTCAGAAGACAGAGGAGACGTGAAGGCGCCTGGTCCCCGGGAAACACACGCCCCACGGGGCTGGCTCGTCAAGGAAGCCCAAGGAGGATGCGGAGCAGCTCTCGGCCGGCAGGAGGAACATGTCACAGCCGCTTCGGGGAGGCCTCCGTGTCTTAGAAGCAGAGAGGACCAGCCCAGACGCCCATCGCCTGAGAGCAGGCTGCAGGCTGCAGACGGGAGGAGGAGGGCATGTCAAGCGACATGCTGCCTTACTGGGGCCACAACCGCACGCGCCTCTGGGCCCCCAAACCCATCAGATTCCACACTTCAACCAGCAAGCGTCACGTCAACCTCCACACACTTAGAAGACCAGTAGGTTAGACCTCTCAGTTCTTAACGGGAAATGACTGTGACACACACTCAAATCAACGAGCACAGAAGAGACCCCGCAGGGCAGCCGGACAGGAGTCCACTCAGCGCTGAGGTGACCCCGCAGGGCGGCTGGACAGGACCCCACTCAGCGCTGAGGTGACCCCGCAGGGCGGCTGGACAGGACCCCACTCAGCGCTGAGGTGACCCCGCAGGGCGGCTGGACAGGACCCCACTCAGCGCTGAGGTGACCCCGCAGGGCGGCTGGACAGGACCCCACTCAGCGCTGAGGTGACCCCGCAGGGCGGCCGGACAAGACCCCACTCAGCTGAGGGGTTACAGACCAAGCAGTGCGCTTACTCAGTAAGACAAAACATAAGACTCTCGGGTTCGTAGAGCTTACCTGTATAACTGACGATCATAAAGCTAAAATTAAAAACAGAAAGTTCTTCAGTTAGATAGGTCTCTTGGGTTTTGAAAGTCGGTAAGTCATATTAACAGTGAGAAAGCAGGGACGGATCCTGCTTCACTCTCTGCAAGCGCCTCCCTCAGCCTCCTGCTCCTTCTCTCCTTTAATCCTCACGACAGCCTCACTTGGGAGGGAATCCAAGGCACGGAGAGGGTGGCCAGGCGTGAGGGGTCCAGGACTGACCGAGCCGTGACCATCCCCCAGACGGCCACTTGGGCAGAAAACAAAGACCACCAACCAGGGAGCCTGAGGCTCTTTCTTCCAAAGCCCTGGAAGCACCTCCCAGCATCGCCACCTCGGCTACAGGGACTGTGCTCACATGGTCCTTTCACCCCAGAACTACAGGGAGGAGGGCCCACCCACACTCTACAGAACGAGGGGGCGCGTGGCCCCCGTCTGAGTCTCTGTGCTCTCCGGCGCTCACGCTGCCCTGACAGCGGGAGGGAAACAGGCCAGGCTCCTTGTAGAGTGACAAGTGTAAGTAAAAAGACCAATGGCAATGGCTTCGCCAAATCACACAGCAAGCTCACGGCACAAACAGGTAAGAGGCGAAGACCCAGTGTGCATTCTTATATAAAAACACGGAAGTCTAACGAGGACAACAAACAGTGAAGCCATCTAAAGCCGCATCCTGACTCGGAGGGTGTCCTGTAACGGAGACCGTAGCTCATAGGTTCCCTCTTTTGAATCACAGGAGCCTCTGAGAAGCTGAAAACTCGGAAAGCCCACAGCCCTTCTCCGCGGAGAGTGCGCCACACTCGGGCGTAACTTCAGACTCAGGACGCCCACCACGCAGGCACACGGGATCCAAGGCCTTCGTGCTGCCTGGACAGGAGGGCAGTAGGCCTGTGAGCTGCCTGCACCGGCCAGACTGCCCTTGGGACTCGGCCACACGAGAGGAGATGCTCTTCCCTCCCCCGCAATCCAGAGGAGCCGGCCCACGGAGAGCGGAGAACTGCTCCCCAGCTGACAGCCCAGGGCTGCACTGCCCAGGGCTCAGCCTTGCAGGGAGCTTCCGGTCCTGAGCCCGGCCTTCAAACAGGCTGAGGGTGGAGAGAGCTTGAGGTCAGGCGGACGCCCTCAGCCCCACAGACCTGCTGGTGAATCTGCTTCAGGCCCTGCACCACCGTCTCGTCCAGGTAGTCTGCGACCGGCCTACAGGAGGTCAAACACAGCAGTGAGGCCCCGAGCACCCCGGGGGCCAGGCTCAGAGAAACCTGCATCATGTTCAGCGCTTCACCCGCTCCCCCAAACACCTGCAGAAGGTAGTCCCCTAGAGCAACACCCACCCAAAGGGGTGGCCATAGGGACCCAATCAGTAAAGCCGGGACCCGGATGCAGTTCGCTGACCACAAAGACAGTCCCCCCACGGATGGGGAGCAGCAGGCTCACAGCTGCCCGTGTGACGGTTGGAAAGGAGACGTGACCGGCTGGTGTGGGGCCTGACAGACTGGAGCTCCAGCACAGCCTCACTGCCATCCGAGAGGCTGCTCGAGAGGCTGCCCTTGACTGGGTCCGGAACTTGAGGTTCAGGAGGGTTCCCACCATTCCCCGAGGCAGTAGGGTGGCTGTGCCCAAACTGTGCAAGCAACATGGTCTCTGCTGGCACCTGGCTGTCGGTCTCTGCTGACACCTGGGTGTCTGCTGGGGGTCTGGTGGAGAAGACCACAGGACTAACCCAACAGAAACCTGGGTGCGCCTCTCAGACCCTCCCTGGTGGGTGGCAGCTGCACCCTCCCAGTCAGAGTTGGGGGATCAGGCTCCTGTGTAGCTGCCCAGCCCTCAGCCACTTCCCCTGATATGGCCGCCTCTCAGGGAGCGAGCGGGGAGCCGAGCTGGGCGGTAAAAGACTGCCAACCCTCCCGGGCCCTCCGGTCAGGAGAAAGGTGAGCTCCGTCTCTCGCTCAGAACCACCCCCTGACGTGACACAACGTCACAGTTTTTCTCAAACTGGAGGCTAAGGACCAGGTTACAGTGTCCTGTGTGCTGGCTCTTGCTTCTGAGGAAAGGTGGTTGGAAAGAAAGGAAAGAAAAGCCAAGTGGCTGCTTCCCCAACATTCTCGCGTGCGGATCTGCTCCAGGGCCCGCTGCCTCCTCACTGTTCACACCCACTTTCCCACCAAGAATTCCTGGTGGAAGCGTTTAGCCCTGAGCTCTGGGATTTTAGGTTGTTAAGGGTGACAAATGATGGAGAGTATGGAATACAGGAGCCACTCAACAGCGTCTCCGAAAACCCCTCTTTGCTGTTGTAACTGACCCACTTCCCCAGAAAGAGTGAGGTGACCGAGGACACAGCACGGGCAGCCCTCCCTCACGGAGACCCTGCGTGCCCACCGAGGTCGAGGAGGAGGAGGACTCGCCGAGGGCACGGAGACGCTTCCCTGCAGGTGCTCACTGTGAGTAGATGCCACTGCCCACGCGGGGCCTACAGTAGGGGTCACGCAGCTGGGACATGCACTGGGAGACCCAGACGCTCAGGGTTGGGACCTGAGCTCTGCTGTCTGCCTGGACGTAACACTTGGAGCCGCCAGTGGCCCCATCTGGCCACATACTTGCTGGCTCCCGTCACAGGCAATGACTCATCAGAGAGAGGACCACCGACCAACCTCATCAGGTAAAACGTGACGACACTGCCCCCAGGCACATGTGACACAAATGCAGTGGACCTGTCCCAGCTCTCGACCACGTGCTTCAGCGGGGAAGGGGGAGGGGGACTGCTCCTACCTGTCCTCCCGCACAGCCAGTCTGTACAGGCTGTGGGCGACCTCAGCACAGGTGAGCACAGCCCCATGCCGCGTGTGCAGGTCCGTACTCTGCGTCATCGACAGCAGGCGTGGGAAAACTGCAAAGGACGGGCAGGAGAAGACGTCGCGTGGGCACACAGGCTGACATGCAGACTCAGTGAGTCGGGGAGAAAGGCACTTGCGGACCGTTCCGTCAGGACCGTTATCACCCCCAGAGCTTAACCTGAGGCAGCAACAGGCAGGCCCCCGGCACCCAGGCAAGTGAGCAGGACCACGACCGAAGACGCCGCTCACAGCATGTGCTTCCCAGGCTCCCTGGGCACAGGTGGCTGGTGTGGGACGAGGTCTTTCCTGAGCTAATGGCCAGCAGGGCTCTGCCTGGGCAGAGCAGGGCAGGGTCGAGCTGCAGGACCCCCGCTACCCACAGCACTGCTCAGGGCAGAGAGGCCTCTAGGTCTTTTGTGCTCTGGGCACAGAAAGCAAAGCCCCCACCAGCCCCTCAGAGCCTCATGTCCCTGAAGGCACAAGAGCAGCTGTGCGACAGCGTCCAAGCCAAGAGCTCCCACACGGCAGCGGACAGGCTCCGTGTCTGAGGTCAGGGAACCCGTCATCCCGGCCGTTAGAACTCCTGAACTGGGAACAAACTCTATGGGAAGGTCATGGTTTCAGGTCCTCCCACAGATCGTCACTGGCAAGTGAGGGAGCACCACGCAAGGTTCCCGTTTAAGGAACAGACCACGAGGCTGAAAGGGCCCTCACAACGAGGGGGGTCCCAGAGCGTGTGGAACACACACACACGTGAAATCAGTAACTAGAGGAAGAACCACAATTCCACCACTACTCCCTATAACCAATGTTGGTGGGAATAAGTGTAATTTCAGGAAACGTATGCATGGTGCTCACACTGAAATCAGATGCTTATTTATTCCCAGTAGAAAAGACGAGATGGACTCACGGGTTCTCCCCTAGTGACAGTGGAGCGGCATGGCTCCGGCAGGACAGCCGGGAGTGGGCCCTGCGCTCTTGAGAGTCAGTGCGCAGCACGACAGGTGCTCCCAAGGCCCTAGCACGCAGGAGGCAGTTCGCTTTTTAAAAAGTTGACTACATGGTGAGTCATTTCGCTGATTTGTTTTGTTTTTAAAGAAAGCTATGACTGAAGTATGCATGACATACAGGATCCCGCCAGTTCCCCGCTGTGACAGGCACCCACACAGGGCCCGCCTGGGGGCTCCCGGTGGACACACCACAGCGACCACAGCGCCGTCCCTGGGGAGACGGAGGCAATCGACTGTGCTCTGTCCGGTGCTTCTCAGCAGGAGAAACACAGCACATTCCACTCCTCCAGCCTTGGAACCAGCAGGGTGGCCCGTCCTCGGCTTTCTGTTACCGTGTACACATGTGTGTGAGCGTGTGCATGCATGTGTGTGCGTGTGTGAGTGTGCGTGTGCGTGCATGTGTGTATGTGCACATGTATGTGTGTGCGTGTGAGCGTGTGCATGTGTATATGTGCACATGCATGTGTGGGCGTGTGCATGCATGTGTGTGTGCATGCATGTGTGAGTGCGTGCATGTGTATATGTGCGCATGTATGTGTGTGCATGTGTGAGCGTGAGCATGCATGTGTGTGCGCTCACGCACATGAGCGAGGGGCGCCCACAGGCCGGCCGGAGCTCACTTACCCTCAGCAGCACTGTGCTCGGGCGCCTGCTGGACCAGGTTATGCAGCGCCTTCGCTGACAGCTCTCTGATGACCCTGGGGCAGTGGGACAGAAACACTGTTAGCTCCGTTATTCGACGGCTCTGGCTTTACTCAGCTCATGAAAAGCGAGACGGTCTCCATGAGTCAACTGGCCACTGAGTCAAAACCACTACTGAAGATAAACACCAAACGAGTAAGAACCTGACTGTCACAAATGAGGAAGCGAGAATTTACCAAGCGAAGCACCGAAGTGCAGGCCCATCTCCGGGCACAGCTGCCACCTCCAAGCGCTGGGTGGCAAAGCGCCCCTGCCTCCCACCCCCCCTGGACTCGGAAGATGGGACGAACCCTGAGGGGACCTGAAACCATGAGCTCTTGGAAGAAAACAGAGGAGAAGCTTCATGATGTGAAATTTAGCAATGATTTCTCGGGTGTGGCACCAGACCCATCAGCGACAAAAGTAAAAAAGTAAATAAACAAGAATAGGTAAGTTGGGAATAGACCACTTGGACTGCACTGAACCTTTAAACTACTGACTGTATCAAAGGGAACAATCAGCAGAGTGAAAAGGCAACATGCGGAGCGGGAGGGAGAAAACGCCGGCAAATCTTGTATCTGACAAGGGCCGAAGTCTGGGCGACGGAAGGGACTCCTGCAGCCCAACAACCGGTGAGGAACTGCACTTGGAGACGCTTCTCCAAGATGAACTACAAACAGCCAACGAGCACATGAAAAATGCTCAACATCAACAATCACCAGTTAAACCACAAATATCACTTCACACCCACTAAGAGAAAAAAACACGGAAAAAAGGTCCTGGCGTGGATCTGGGGAAATTACAACCTTGTAGGTTGCCAGTGGAAATGGAAAACGATGCAGACACTAGGAAAATCAGTATGGTTTTTGAGGTTTCTAAAAAATTAAAAATAGAAATACTATACGATACAGCAATCCTACTTCTGGGTATATACTCAAAAATACTGAAAAGAAGAGGCTTAAAAAAATATTTGGACACTCTTGTTCATAGCAACATGACTCACAACAGACAAGAAATAGAGACAAGTTAAGAGCCGGTCAATGAACAGATGGAAAACGAAAACGTGGTCTGTCCAGCCACGGGAGGCCACTGGGCCTTAGAAGGAAGGGCATTCTGGCACCTGCTGCAGCATGGATGGGCCTCAAGGACACGGTGCCAGTGAAAGCAGCCAGTCACAAAGGGGCAGACACTGTGTGATTCCGTATGAGGCCCTGGGACAGTCAGATGCATCGAGACAAAGAGGAGGATGGCGGGTGCCAGGGCTGGAGGAGGGGAAGGGGGTCATTATTTAATGGGGATGGAGTTTCGGTTTTGCAAGATGACAAGTCCTGGAGATTGTTTGCACAACAAGGTGAACGTGCTTAACACTACGGAACTGTACACTGAAAATGGTAAAGATAACAAGTGGACCAATGCCCCTTGAAAACACACACTACAAAGGGAGACCGGAATACCTATACCGATAAGGGGATACCTCTCAAGAGTGTTTGTAAAGAACTCTGCAAGGGTCAAATCACTATGAAATACCCGGACCTAATGTAATAGTGTAAGTCAGGTATACTTCAATAAAAAATAAATAAGAAAAATAAAATATGGTTCACAAAAGAACTCTGTGAGGCTCCCATCACATCAAAGAGAACCCAACACATACCCATCCCAGTGGCTGATCTTCATGGTGAGCAGGTGGTCTATCATTGGCCGTGTGTACTCAGGGAAGCCGGCAATGAACATGCTGAAAAGACAACAGCTGATGAGCACTTAGTTGCTCCCACCTTGTGCACGTGCGCCCCACTTGGCGTAGGGGGTGGAAGGACCACATCTCTAGAAGACCTAAGAAACTGGAGACAATGGGGGGGGTGGGGAGCGACCTTGGGATGGAACCGGGAAGCTGAAAAGAGAGGTGAGACAGACGTGAACACTCCCCTGCACCTTCTGAATTTACAAGCCCATGTATCGCCTTCCCCCCCAAAATGCACTTTTACACTTCCTGCCTCTAACACAGCCCATCGCTTACACAGACTGTCTGAACCTGCCATGTCACCCCCACACCCCCACCGTGGACTTGGTCATCACCCACGTGTGACAATGCAGCTGAAAGACAAGTGAACGGCACAGAACACCAAGGGGAACACGATTTCACACGGATCCTTCGTGGGCACACGTGTGTGCATCCCGGGATGAACACGAGTGGCAGGCGGGCGTGAGGACAAGGAGAGTGTGCCCGGATTGACAGAAAGGAAAGCAGAGGCCGCTTCCGAAGTGGGTGGGCTGAGAGCCCCTCGAACGGGGATGAAATAGCTTGAGAGAGTCAGAAGGAAAAACAGGAACATCAGGCAGAAGACCAGCTGCCGGAAACAGAGCTGAGCCTTGACCCCTAGTCCTACAGCACCTAAGGGCCCCTGGTGCCATCGACAGACAGGCTCGCCCCAGGCCAGTGTCCAGGAGCTGGTGGGATTCCAGAAACACAGGCAGAGGAATGACCTCTGGCCTCACAGGAGGAGAGGAGAGAGGCCCGCGCCTGGGTGCTGGTGCACTCTGGCACCAACTAGCGGCCGACCTCGGAGACGCCCTGCTGAGCCCCCACCGGGCATTGCCCAGCACTCGCTGCGCGCCCAGCATCTGTGCAGAAGCCAAGGGCAGACCAAGGGGTGTCCAGCAGAGGGTGGAGGGTGAGGGCGAGGAGTCTGAGGGGACAGCAGGCGTGTGACAGGAATAAGGTGCCTCCGACCGGCACTTCCAACAGCGGCCGGAGGAAGGACCGGTGGCGGGCTCTTCAAGCGTCCAGGATGGTGGGAGCTGGACGAAGGCGACAGCGAGTGGAGAAGCCGGGCGAGGGGCGTGTGAGGGTGAGGGACGCAGAAGTGACAGAACCAGGTCACCAACCGCGTGCTGGGAACAGGAGGAGCAACTGAGCCGGCTGCGCGGCTGCTGCGCACTGAGCGATCCGCAGGGGGAGGCACAGCCACCTCCCTGACGAGCTCCGTGGACAGGAATGCGCAGGTGCTGCAGAGCCAACGGCTAGAAAGAAAAATATGCCACACTGCACGTTGAGGGACACACAGGCCTGCAGATGTCAGAATCTGTGAAGGAAATTCACAACCGCAAGAGACAAACCAGCAGAGCGTGCCCATCACTGCCAGGGAGGTCCCAGCAGAAAGAGCCTGTGTCCGCACACCCAGAGGAGACAGTGTCAGGACACGGAGACAGAATGACTGTGAGGCTACAGGAGCCCACACACGCCTCTCACCCACTCACACGCATCCCAGAAAAGGTGAACTCGGGGACAGAGGGCTCCGGGGCAGCGGGGCTGCGCAAGAGGGTGCTGTGGTGACGGAACGTCCCTCACGCTGACCACGTTTTAAATGAGTACATTTTACTATATGCAAATTACATGTATAAAAAGGGTGTGCAAAAATAAAGCCACAGACTAGGAAGCATCTGCAGACCCTGGATCTGAAGAAGGACCTGCATTCAGAATTCTCAAAGTCTCAGCCAGAAAACAACTCACCAATCAATAAACAGGCAACAGATTTGTCAGAAATGAAAAGACGCTCGCTGTCACTGGGCACTGGGAAGGCAAACCAACCCCTGCTCCTGCACATCCACTAAAGAGCCGAAATCATACAAACCGACCACAGCACGGGCTGTGGGGAGGGAGGAAACAAAGAGCTCCCCTGGCCAGCGGGCGCTGCCACTTGGAAAACGATTTGGCAGCTTTTTTCTTTTTTAATCCTCCCCTGTCAGCCATTTGTGGCTGTGGGTGCCACCATCTTTGAGGGCAGGACAGTCAATTAGCATATTCCTTCTTTATTAGATAGGATAGTATTCTACCAAATGAATGAATAATGGATGGTTTATCCATTCATCCGATTTCAGAGAGAAAGGAAAAGGGAGAGATAAAAACATCAATGATGAGAGAGAATCACTGATCCACTGCTTCCTGCATGCCCCCCCCTGGGGACCAAGCCCACAACCTGGGCATTGAACCCAGGACCCCTCAGCCCGCAGGCCGACACTCTATCCACTGAGCCAAACGGCTGGGCCATTTGGCAGTTTCTTAACGTGAGGACCCCCCATGTCTAGCATCCCCTCCTGGCATCTAACCCAGAGAAGCGGGGGCTCGTCCAGACAGATGGGCACTTGGAGTCCCCACAGCTGCATCTGTGAGGCCCCGACCGGAAGGAACACCCAGACACCCCTCCAAGGCAAGGGTACACACCTCAGCGCCCAGAGGACGGAAGGCCATCTCTAGTGCACACGCCAGAGCCACGAGAGGAGCACAGCTCAGGCCAGGGTGGCCCGTGGCAGTGGCACAGGAACCTGGTGGCGATGGTGGGGACAGAGGCTGGCACACGTACCCTCACGCAGCTTCCTGTGCCATCGGCACTTTAAGCTGCTGAAATGACCACCAGACAGGACTGGCCCCGGCCCCCCGGCCCAGGTGCTTCCATTCGGTGCAACTCGAGTCCATGTGCTGAAAATCCCCCCTCCCCCAGGTCACCTGTCCACAGGCCGTCCGGGCACTCATCCGAGCCACCAGCCCCTCACCATCAGGGTGCGACACGGATCACCTGACCTTCCCCCGCCCACAGGCATCTTCTCCTCACAGATGTGCCCAGCTGCAAGTGGCACCGGGGCAACCCCGGCACCTCGCTCTCGAAACCCCTCCAACCTGCTGACAGCACACCCGCCCTGTCCCCCGAATGTCCCACACCGGGCAAGGCCCTGACCACTTCCTTCCTTCTAGTTACCAAAGTGCAGCCACCATCGCGCTTAACATGCAGATCTGACCATTAAAGTGCGTCCCACAGCCTCAGGGCAACCCGACTCCTCGCTTTGGCTGAAAAGTCCCACTCCCCGGGAGGCCCCCCAATACACACCAGGCTCCCTCTGCCACACACCCCTTCCCTCACCCCACTCAGGCCGATGCCGAGAAGGTGGAGGCGGGTGAGAAAGATGCTAAAACCGAGACATGATCAGTCACAGAGTCCTTCTGGGAAAGAGGCCTTTCTTAAAAGCTATGTCCACGCCAATTTCGGAGAAACGTCGTGTCTGCGAGGTCGGTGCAGCATGGTGTCAGGAACCTGTCCTCAGGATACACGATGGTAATGACTTTAAACACAGGGCCTGCTGCTCCCAATCCAGGGCAAGCACATCGCACATCACACCTACGCTCTGCTTCTCACGCTGCAGGTGGATGGACCAGGACACGGAGGCCATTTCCCAAATCTCGGTCACTAAGTAAAAGCGTTGCTGTTACTGCTGCAAACTGCGCTCAGGGACGTTCAATATTCATTTCTTGACCTGATTCCTCAAACACCTCTTCCTCACTGAGCTCGCAAACAGCCCAGACACAACTGCCACCTGGAGAACACTTGCGCTGATGCAGAAAAAGCAAGTCACTCCCAACCCAAGGTTTCATTCTGAGAAGCTCAATACATGGATGATGCCCAGGACAGCTGTCAGCAGCTCAGGGCACGGCCTGGCCTGCGGCCATTCCCCGTGAGACCAGCCCTCAGCAGAAACAGCACTAATGAAACAGGACCCCGAGAGCAGAGTGCTCACGTCCAGTCAGCTCCCGAAACCATTAGCACGTTTTAGAAAGTGAGCCAGCTTCTCCCCAGCCCGCACCGCTCCCACCTCCCTCTGCTGCCGTTCCTGTGGCTTCGGCGGAAGGTCTGCCCCATGCATTTCCTAAAGTCTCACATAAACGAACACGTGGTGTGCACGCACCCAACCATGGGAAACGAGGCCGGATAACGGTTCCAAGCCACCTTCAGCTTTTCACACGTAAGTTACAATCACTAATGGCCTTCAGGGACGAAGGAAGACAACAGCAGAAGCTGACTGGGGACATCTAGGCCAATGTTATGTTTTGTGATAAACACTAAAAACTTACCTTATAACCAGGAAACAGTTAGATCTGTTACCGACAGCAAAATAGTCGGCAGTGGTCAAAATATCAATCCCATGAGGGAAGGTGCCCTGAGGAGAGGGAAGAGCAAGAAAATGGTGAACCCTGTGCACGAGGGAAGGCACCCCCACCAGCTCAGCACTGCACCCTATACGTTTACATTCATGGACGTGGCGGCCAGACAGCCTGACAGAGAGGCTGCGGGTGCCTGAAACTGCTCGTCCACAGGCTTCCCGTCAAGTCCAGTTACTGAGCATCTATCCCAGGCCAGACATGGCGCTAAACTATTTACATCTCTTAAAAATATTTAATTTTTTTTCAAATGACTCATGCATTTCAACTTTAAATTGTTGTAGACCTTCCTGTAACCACACACCATGAAGAGACATCCAGTTTCAGCAGCGTTAACCCTACTGATTCACTGGACCTGTCCAGGCAGGGGGACCCCAGCCAGCGCTCCCCGGAGGGGCCCTGAGAACCCTGGACAGGAGCCACACCACAGCCTGAGAGAGAGGATGAGACACGGCTTGACAGCTGACACCCAGAAGCAGACTCTGAAAGGGGGAGATGGACACCTCGCCCATGAGGCTTGCCCAGCTCTGCCCCCAAATCTGCGTGTTATTACTGAGAACGCTCTCTGGTAACAGTATCTAAAAATCTGAAAACAAAACCGTCTTCTGGCCCTGACCGGTTTGGCTCAATGGATGGAGCGTCGGCCTGCGGACTAAAGGGTCCCAGGTTCGATTCCGGTCAAGGGCATGTACCTTGGTTGCGGGCAGATCCCCAGTAGGGAGTGTCCAGGAGGCAGCTGATCGATGTATCTCTCTCATCAATGTTTCTAACTCTCTATCCCTCTCCCTTCCTCTCTGTGAAAAACTCAATAAAATATATTTTTAAAAAACCGTCTTCTGAAAAGACTTAAATACTTGACAAACTTTCAACCACGGAGTGAAAGCCTTCTGGCTGTGTCCCATGGGAGGAAGGTGAGAGGCCCAGCCCTGCCCTGCTCTCAGGGTCCCTCCTCACCCTGGGGCCGGCACGGCAAACGGGCAGGAGTCTGATGAGCAAGGCACGGAAAACAGCCAGCACCCAACCCTGCATCTGTGCCCCTGTGGGCACAGCACTCCCAGGCGACAGGTAGCAAGGCGCAGGGACAAGATGAGCAGTGGGGCTGCACGGTCCCTGAGGATGACCCGTGCTCGGACGCCAGCTCCCGGTCGGTGACACAGGAGGAATGAAGCGTGGGCTGGATCCCATGTGTGACAAGGAACTCGGGGTCCCGTTACTGTTTGGAAACTCACTAACGGGATGTTGATTCACAGGCAACATGTAAAAGCCTATTTGCCTCATGACCCAGCTACACGCAGAGCAGGAGACAGCCACCACCTGAGGGCAGCAGGACACCTGGCCTGCCTGCACTGTCCTACCCTCTCCGGTTCACACACTGGCCCAGGGACGGTTGGAAAAAAGGCCACCGTGGCTCCCGAGGTGGGGCCCGCCCCCCGCAGGCAGCACTCAGACCTCTCCGGGTGCCTCTGTACTTTCATCCACCCTGGCCCAGACCATCCAGTCCCACTTCTGTGCAGCGACACTGGCGAAAACATCCCGGTCCAAACCGCTCTGGGCAGCCCAGGGGGCAACTCCCCCTGCACGGAACGCAGGCCTGGGGTCAGGACAGCGGGCCTGTCTGCCACAAGGTCCCCAACAAGCAGGCCTGGCGGGCAATGCTCAGGTATTGCCTCTTCCTCCTTAGAGTTCAGGCCCCACCTTGGAATTTTGTTTTGTCGACAGCGTCCCTCTCAGGTGCTGCCTCTCCCTCCTGAGCCTCTGCACGGGGTTCCCCCAGCTCCCGCCACCCGACTTCTGCCCAAGCTCCAAAGGCCCATAGCTTGTTCCCCGGTGCCGCCTGCCAATTCCTTCATGACACGCTCACCGTCAGCCCAGACCTGCCTCCTAGCACGTTCACCTCTCACCCCTTCCAACCAGAGCTCAGCTCAGGGTCTCCCACACATCGCCTGCCTCTGGCCCATTCTCCACCAGGCCCACCACGCGTCCCGGCCTGTCACCATCACCCTCAGCACAGATTGTTCAGGGACAAAGGCCACACCTCCCAGCCAGGGCTGACCAGTAAGGAGAGGCAGAGCTTGGGAGCACAATGAAGCCAGCAAGCACCAAGAGGCGCCATGGGTCGATGCTTCCGGAAGCTGGCTCATGCCACACGCGGGACGGGCAGGGCTTGCATCGCTGTCCCGTGAGCCAGGCCCCTCTGCACACACCCTGAGCACCCATGGGCAATGGCTACGTCGGGTGCCCCTCAGGAATGCACGAGGCACTGGTTTCTGACGGGTGTGTGTGTGTAAAATCACTTCTACACTCACTGCTAACTGTTTAAAACCTGTGTCAACACTCACTGTGTCACCTTACCAGTGAGTCTGTGACCAGAACCGTGTTACGTATTAGTTTATTCTAGGCAAATGCGTTACCCAGGCCTAACAACGCAAGAGGATTCTCCGTTTGCAATTCTCAGTATTTCTGCCTCTACATCTACAGGAAGTTGTAAGAATGAAGACTGAAGAAGCAGCCATACCTGTCTTCCCACATTCTCCTGGAAAGCAGCCTGAGGAACAGAAGAACAAACAGCAGTGAGTGAGCCTGGCACTTTGCTGAACATCAGGATGCGGACTCACAACGAATGACCCGTGAACTTATTTCCTGTCAGAGTCCTCATCGGTGGCTGGTCCGAGCCTCTGAGACGGGCGGTCCTGCCTGTGTATCCTGCTCTTTACAACCACAACTTAGCCCCAGCAGGCTGGGCTCAGTGGATAGAGCGTTGGCCTGTGGACTGAAGGGTCCCGGGTTCGATTCCGGTCAGGGGCACATGCCCGGGTTGTGGGCTGGATCACCAGTGGGGGGTGTGCAAGAGGCAGCCGATCAGTGATTCTCTCTCATCATTGATGTTTCTCTCTCTCTCTCCCTCTCTCTTCCTTTCTGAAATCAATTAAAAATGTTTTTAAAACCCCCACAATTTAACGTTTCAAGTTATAAAATCAGACACATCCTGAAAAGTGACCTCTGGTGGCTAATGCTGGGCCTGAACCAATGCCTCAGGGAAGGCCCAGATGTAAAAAATGGGGATAGAGACAAAGCAACTGGTTAAACAAAAGCCACATCCAGGGTGCCCACCACCTCTCAGCACAGAGGGAGAGACCCCAGGAACCAGTGGCCTCAAGAACCACCGCCCGGGAGCAGGGAGACCATCACACACAGAGCACGGATATGAACACACACGGGCGCCAACACGGCCGGATGCATCCGTATCTGGGGAAGCAGCTTCGTGGAAAGAAATTTTATTCCCAGGAATCAGGTCTCGACCCCATGTTTTCAATTGAGCTTCACACAGAGCTTGTGACTCTCGCTGCTTCAGCTCTGCATCTGCTGGGTACACAGGGTGCACGCCCATGTTTGTGCAAGACTTTCCTGGTAATTTGTTGAATTATGACTTTAACTTGAAATCATGGTTTCTATGGTTTTATTCCATCTCTTCTCCAAGGTTCACAAAGATACCAGTGCCCTGACTCCCTCTTGGCCCACACGCCCCTCCTGCGGGTCTCCTGGTCTGACAGCCACAACGGCCAGGACCCCTAGCCCTGACTGCAGAGACGGGAGCCTCACACAGCAGCACCAGCCGGAGCCCGCACCGCAGGGAAAGGAACGAGAAGGGGAACTTACCGAGGCGGCCCTCCTGCAGTTCACGTTCCGGTCGAACACCGTGGCAATGACCAGCGCGCTGTGGGAAAGGGGCAAACGGCTGCTTAAAAGGAAACCTGCAGAGACTCAGATCCCATGACACTAACGGGGAACCCTGGCCTTTCATTCGCTTGTCCGTGGCTCAGGCTCAACACAGCTGCGGCCACACGTGGGCCGAGGGTGGCTGACCCTGATTCTAATGAGAGCACCTGAGTGCAAGCCAAGTCCCCGGGAGCGGGCCGTTGGCACAGGCCTGGGGGCAGCTAAGGGAAGCAGGGTCCCAGAAGGGGAGTGGGGGGAGGGGGAGGCGGGCACGGCCCACGGTGACACACAGAGAAAAGAAGCCTGCAGGAGCGCCGACCCATCCCCTCCTAGAAACAGCCGGACCAAGGACAGAGACAGCTGTTGGGTGTCACACAAGTCCTACAGACGGCATGTCCGCCCGAGCCACACCAGGCTCCTAAGGCAGAAACCTGTCCAGCTCAGTGGGCTTCGTTTAAATCCCCCTCCTTAGGCCATCGCATGTCACTGTCATGGACTAACCAGGACTCAACCTGACTGTAGCAACGACAGAGAACAACTGATTTAGGGCGGGCTTGCAAAGGGCTGTCACTTGAAAATTTCAGGTGACAGACTGTTCTGTTGGTACTGTGGTTTGGAACCCAACTTTATAAATCTGTCAAAACCCAAAGAACTGCACGTACAAGAGTGACCTATCCGAACGTGAGGCCCGGGAGGGCCCTATGGACTGGAAAGGCCAAGGAACGCCGTGCCCAAGACTCGTCCCTGGTGCTGGCGGCATCTCCCCAGGGTGTGGTTAGCCACTGTGAAGCTACTGCACATGGAACTGCAGGCGTAGGAAACACCGCAGAGAACAAGGCCGTGTGGAGTGGGCGAGTGGGACGTGAGGAATCCACACGAACCCACGGCCTTGGGGGCCACTCCTGGATGCAGATTCAAAAGGCGACTCTCCACTAGAGAAACGCAGACTCTGGGAAGTGGCTGGTTCCCGGGACGGGGCAAAGGAAAAAAGATAAGCCTGGAGCATCGGTCAGGCTAGGAACTAGGAAAATATTCTAAAAAAAAAAAGTACAGGTGCTGGTGAGAGGACACAGCCAGCAACCTGAAACGGATCCCAGCGGCCAGGGGTGGACAACTGGGCAACACAAGGAACAGCAGCACTAAACGAAAACCCCAGGATCCAAGAAGCGCCCGCGCCCACAGGACAAAGCGACCGCCCCGAGTGGAAAAAGGGGAAGAGACGCGCCATGACCACGGCGGCACCTGGCCCAGCAAGACCACCAATGGGCATGAAAATGGGTGAAGTTTATGGAGAAAGGGCACAGTCATTAGTCTTAAAACATGTGTTACTTATAAAGCAAACAACACAGTAACTCTGCAGACCCACCTCAACAGGGATCAAGGCCAGCATCCCCCCCGTAATTCTGGGACGTGCCCCAAATGTGGCCGAGCAGGCACGCCACCAAGTACTGGCCGCAGTCTGGCCAACAGTGACACGGGGCTCTGTCCTCGGTTTTGCTGCGTGAGGGATTACCATCAGGGAAGCTGGCAAAGGGCTAATGGACTCATGTAACAATACCACTTGAAAAACACAGCTTTTGCCTGCCTGGTGTGGCCAAGAGGTCCTGGGTTCAATTCCCAGTCAGGGCACATGCCTGGGTTACAGGCTTGATCCCCAATGGGGGCTGTGCAGGAGGCAGCCAATCGAGGCTTCTCTCTCATCGATGCTTCTATCTCCCTCTCTAAAAATCAATAAAAACTTATTTTAAAAAAAAAAACACACAGCTTTTAACCACTATAGACTCTTAAGTTAATTCAACCAATCAACTGTGTATATACCCATGAATGTAACTGGTTTTTAATACTGTTTTGATTTGTACTAAGTTTAGAAAACTACTCTGATTTTACTTTGAGAGCAAAACTGGCTTACCTAGAAATACTGGTAATTTCAAATAAGAACAGGTATGATCGTCTTGGTTAAGTGAGTGTGAGCGCTGCTTGCTCCCTTGTCCACTGGGCGCCTCTCCAGTCCCCTCAGCCAGGGGGCCGCGTGTGAGTCACACACTTTCGCCTCACGTTCAGAGGGGACGTGGAGAGCGACCCCGGGAGCCGGCGCACACGTGTCTGCAGGGCTGGGCTGCCAGGGCGGGAACGCCTCTCGGGCGCCTTCGCCAGTTTGCTCTCGCTGCAGGGGTTCAGCGATACTTCACCAGATTTCCCAACAAGAGGAATGGTCTGTGTCAAACAGAAAGGGACTTTCTTTCTTGTCCGAGTCGGGGGAGCTGCACGCCTCGACCTGCCTGCGTCCCAGGCACCTGGTTTGGATGAGCCGGTACAAGGCGCATATCTCACCCCAAAGTCAATCTTCGTTAGTTTATGTAATGTTTTATAGAAATAAAAAGCAAAATACACTGTTGTTATCTTAAGGAACAGTAATCCATTAATTTCAAAGTTTAAAAAAAATTTAAATATCAAGCCAGCAATTACCCATCCACGTTGTTTGAAAGTTGCAAATCAAGTTAAAATGCCAGACCTGCCTATGGCCAAGTCAGTCTGAAAAAAGCCAAGCTCCCAGCACCAGGCTTTCCAGGCATCGCTGTAGTCAGAGCAGAGCCACAAGGAAGGCCAAGGGCGCTGACCAGGTGAGGGGCACTCTGACCTGTAATCAGCACTGAACTTTTCTTGAAAAACAAAAGGGTTATCTTCCTTCAGGAAGCGGGCCAGGGCCCTGGAGAAGGTCGCAGTGAGAACAAGACATAGCTCTGAGCCACGCATGCCATTTCCTGATGTTTCAGGACAAGCTTGCCCTCGAGGAAGAGATCTGGGAGCCAATCTCCAGGCGCTGCTGCCCGGCTGCTCCTGGGAGCAGAGCTCTGCCCAGGACAGGGAGGGGCCTGCAGGCTGATGTCAACGGCTCAGTTTACAACAGAGTTTCAGGTGAGGAAATCGCTGGAAGGTGACAACCTGCCTGCTGGCAGCCAGCACCTCATTTTTCTTTTTCTTCTTGCCAATTAGCTTCTGGATTGCTGGTGAGGAGGTATTTTCTAGATAAAGCACAACCATTCTGTACCATTTTAACTTCATGGGTTTCATTGTTCCTAAATTACTAATATAGTAGAGGCTTTCTTCAGGAAACCCTATTTACTTTTCCACACACACACAAAAAAAAATTGTTCATCTCTTAACCTGTCTGTGTATAAGTTTAGGAAATACAGATTTTCAGGAGCAGCCCAAACTAATTCAAAACAATTAAATTTGCTTGAAAACTTTCTTTGTGACATTATAAAACAGCAAGCTCCTTAGAAAGTGGGCAGCTGAGCCCTGCACTTGCCCCGACTTTCCGGGGGTGTAAGGAGGTGGCCAGGCCTCTGACCTCTTACCGCATGGGCGCCTTTCAGACTAGTCAGTCTGACCTCTGACCTCTCACCACGTCCAGTCCCGCTGCCTCGTTGTTATTGCTGCCCCTGATTCTTTTTATCAAACATTCCTACTTCACTTACAGAATTACATTTTGATCTCCACTGTCAACACTTGTAGGAAGCGTCTGTGAAAGTACAGCTCAAGATATCAACATTTATCAGTGCCAGGACTGATGGGCTTAGAAGCTGACAATTAAAATGTGGCCACTCATCACACAGCAAAGGAGGCAGATCTCGAAAGACACACCCCAACCGATACTCCTGGGCAGGCAGGGAGGCGCGGGGCAGCGGCATCCTCCGGGCTCACCTGGCACGGTGACTCACCTCAGCCTTCCCTCCGCACCCGCCCCACGCCTGCCGTTCAGATGGACCAGGAAGAGCTAGAGCACAAGTTCCCTCAGAACCTGCCCAACTGGCCCGAAAGCCCGACGGGCGCGGCTCCCAGGGGCACATTCGCTGACCTGACCCTGGGACGGCACAGGGATGGGGACGGGGCGGGGGGGGGGCCTGTCAGGCAGAAACTCCATGCGCCTCTGGCGCCTGTGGGAACTGGGAGAAATGAGAAAGGCTGGGCAGGAGTCGGGGCGTCCCTGCCAGCAGTGGCTCCCTGTGTGACGCTGTACACACTCATTACTGGCCCTGGGGCATGCCCAGAAAGTCGAGGAAAGTAACCTCCCCTGAGATCAAAGTGCCCAAGTGCAGAGGAGTTTCTGCAGAGGACGCTGGCCACCAGCTCAGCAAATGCTCTCTGGTCTCCTGTGGAGTGAGGTGCTTAAATGAGTCCCAGCTCAGAATGGTGAGTGTTCTGAACACCCACATCCACACCCTCCCATCTCAGTCCAGACACGTGGGGGGGGGGGGGGGGGGGGGGGCGCAGGGGGAGATTCTATGGGGTGCATTTGGAGGATCCTCAGGACCCCCAGAGGACAGGCCTGGCTCCACCCTCTTAGCTATAGCAGATCTGCAAAGTCACTTTCACTCTGACACGAGCAGACCACGCTGACCGCCCACCTGCCCACACGGACCAGTCTGGGGCTCTTCGGTCCATTGCCACCATGTGCCATACCCAGGAAGCGAAGCACCTGGCAGCTCAGTGGGCCCCAAATCTGTCTTTCCTTTTCTGGATAACAGAGGGTGGCCCTGGAGTACACTGTTCCAGCGCCTCAGCTTCCATGACACTCAGGTCCCCGTGCGGTGACACATGCTCCACTTCAGACCCTGTGGCTCGGCTGTGGCCCCCTCAGGCTGCTGTGCAGGCCTCGCCCAGGCATGGGTCCAAGGTCCATGGGGCATGGATCCGCCCACGCTGAATCCAGAGAACTGAGCTAGCAACACGGACTCTCACGCCCATGTCATGCTCAGGCCAGGCTTAGCACAGCAACTCTTCAAACTGATTCTCACTGCACAGAGTCGCTGCTCAGATTAGTGTGGGGACTAGTTTCAGTCTCAGAAAGCAGAAACCACTTGCTTGTGGCTAAAAGAGCCTCTGATCCAAAAGCCAGGGACCGAGCGAGAGGACCTGTCTGTGCCACAGGCCCCGTAGGGACGGGAGGGCGCGACATTCGCCAGTGTCACTGCTCTGCGTCGTGACCGACTCTCGTCCCTGAAGTGCGGTGGGTAAGCAGCTTTCACCCCAAGTAGAGAAGCGGGTACCTGACGGCCGCCTGCCCCGTGCCCAGCCCTCCCCCCAGTCCCCGCAGAGTGCAGCCTCACCACATTCCACTTTGCTCGGCCAACCCTCAGCCTTCAGCCCTGATCAGCCAGAGGGTCCCAGGAGAACGATTCCTGCAAGCTGACCACTCGGACAAATGTCCGGCTGAAAAGAAGTGCTGGGACTGTTCGCACTTTGAAATGGGAATGACCTCGGGAGCCAGGTCCCTTCGGCGGTGTGTCCATGTCTCACTCAGCACCTGCCAGCTGCCCCCTCTGGGCAGGTGTCCTCAGTGCAATGGACACGACCACAGTGCCTACCTGCCCACAGCATGGACACTGAGGGCACCGAGCCCACCTGGAGGAGCCTGGCTGTCCTGCCGGCTGCAGAAAGCCCTCACGTGTGCTGCTTTCATTCCTAGTTTCTGAAGTCACTTCCAAAGAGTGAGCAGCAGGACCCGGAGCAGCAGAAAGTGCCTTCCACGCAGCATGTTCACAACAGCACAGTCCTGTTCACGGAGCAGTCAGATCACAGAGCTGCTGGTCGAGGGGCAGCCTCCACCCTCAGGGACGAGGGGCAGGCAGCTTGGCCTCTGCCACGCTGGGCCTCCCTGGCTGCAGGCCAGTGGTCACCAGGACCAGGGCTTCCTAAGACCACTGCGCTGTCACTCTGCCCTTCCCTCAAGGGAGGACGAGCGGAGGAATCAGACATCTTTACAACTTCCTGGAAGTTCCTTCAACTTTATCAGAATCCCCAGGCTGTTCTGCAGGCTTTGCTTTGATAGGAGCCAAGATCAAGAGATTCAGGCCAGAGGCACTTCCTGGGCAGTAAACAGGCCTGTGGTACCTCCCCTGATCCCAGAAAAGGTGAGAGCAGGAGGAGGCTCTGAGCCACTCGAGGAGCTGAGGGGCCGCAGACCCTGGGCTCTTCTCAGCTCGCTGTCAACCAGGTGCCACCGCCCTGCACCAGAGCACCTGGCTGGAGGAGCGAAGAGCAGGGTCCCCAGGGCAGTCAGGCCCCGGGATCTCACACTCTCTCTGGGCCTCATGCACAGATCTGGGGGGGTGGGGGGGTGGGGGGGGATCTCCTAAGAACTGTGGGAGGATCATTCTGAAACCCGCTTCCTAGAGCAAGTCATCAGCTGAGTGTCACGCACCATGACTAACGCTGAGGCTGCCACCACGCGGGGCACCCTCCTCTGGCCACTTCATACACAACAAAAAGGCCGGACGTACTCGAGCCCAAAAACACAGTAACAAAGCAGAGTACAAAAATTAACTAAAAATCTCACTATACTGGGGACACATTTGTTTTGCATTTTTCCCCAAATAAAAATGCAGCAGATCTGAAAAGTGGGACATGACAGGAGGGGCACGCAGACGCCTCGGGGGCTCTGCTGGGGACACACACCAAGAACCCAGGGCCACGCTGCCACAGCATCTGATGGGGCCACCGGCCTGCTGGGTTCACTTCTCCAAGAAACCAGAGGAAACACATTTCCCTGCCTCCAAAGCCAGGCTGCTTTCGTTCGGAAGGTGTCGATGAAGATGCTAGTCAGCACTGTGACCAGTGACCATGCAAGTGCTAGTCCACGAGAAGGAGACCCGGCAGGCAGGCCCCGCCCTCCTCAGCAGGGCTGCCAGCTGAAGGCTGCTCTCCCGGTTCTGGTTCCCCAGGAACTCCTTACGAGGTGAGGCTGACCGCTGACGTTCTCGCAGCAGAACACGCAAATGCTCAGCTTCCCGCCTGTTTCCTCCACACTCTCCCAGACGCCCAGGCCCTCCGTGTGGGGACCTGCCAACCACAGGCCAGCCAAAGTCTCTAGAACATCCCTCCTCCACACACGGCCTGAGCTGTTTACCCACGAAAAGGGGTCCTGAGCTGCTGCTTTGTGACAGGTCACCTTGAAGACTTACCAGCTCACGAGCACCTGTGGGAGCTACGCCACGGAGGGCGCGGTCCGAGGGCGAGCGCAGCGACAACTCTAGCCGCCACGACTCTTAACGGGCTTTACCTTGAAATCTTGGCCACGAAGGGCTTCAGCTCCTGAGGCTCGTAGGCACGTGCGAAGGCCCAGCACACGTAGCAGGCAGCATCCCTGACGTTGTCACCCACACTGCAGGCACCCCGCTTCTCCTCGTAGGTCAGCGCCTTCAGGATCACAGGAACCACTGGGCAGAGAAGACAGGCTGAATGGGACAGGCTGAGGGAGGCAGCACAGGTGGTTTTAAAGAAATAGCGTCTGTTGTGGTCACACGACTGTCGGCCCCTCAGCACCAAACAGAGGCAGGCAGAACCAATATACGCAGTCCACCCCAAGGTCATTCTGTGAAAGCGGTGGCCTCGTCAGAAAATAAACATGCAGAAGGAAAACAGAAGTCCACCAGCTCAAATCAGGGGAGCAAGTTTTTGAAAGGTGCCTAAAGCCCTGGCTGGTTTGGCTCAGTGGATAGAGCGTTGGATTGTGGACTGGAAGGTCCCGGGTTCGATTCCGGTCAAGGGCACATGCTCGGGTTGTGGGCTCCATCCCAGGGGGGGCGTGCAGGAGGCAGCCGGGGCCTGGGAGACTCAAAGGGAGAACTGCCGAGGGGGAGGGAAGACGGGCCGGCAGTTCACTGGGGACCTCGGCCTTGGAGTCTTGTCATGGAAACCATAAAAGACACGTGGTTTATAATTCTGGCCCCAAGCAGCTACCTAATGAGCAACCCTGGGGGTGAGGAGAGCCCCGTACGCAGGCATGTTCACTCTGCTCAGGGGGTCTGTCACTGGGGAGTCTCAGAATCCAGAACTAAAGTGATTGGTGAACCCACCCACTGTGACCTCCGTGCGCCCGGTTAACTTACGGACAATCCACACACTTTTAATTGTCTGAAATGTCTGATGTTTACGATAATTTGAAATACATAACAGATTATCCTGGTTCTATTATAAAATCTAAATGAGTAACTTAACAGGTGATTTTTCATATAAAGATATGAATTTTAAGATGTGTGGTGAGGATAATTAAATGTTTAATAGGGCTAAAATTTTTCAAGTATCTGGAAAGGTTTTGCTTATTAGACACATATAAATTACTTAAAAATAAAATATCACATTCATCTACTAGGTTTTAAAAATATAAAGAAATGTAATTAACTTTATAAATGAACCAAATAATTTTAAAGCCTTTTAAAATAATTATAATTGTTAAGTGTAATAGAAAAAGCTTACGTGAACATTGTAATTTTTTTTAGAACATTGTAATTTAAAAATCAAAGACAATGTTAAATTTTTTAAAAGTTACACTACATGGAATTTTCTGAAAGACCACAGGAAAGTCCCAATTTACTGACAGAAAACAGACAAGGATGCTGCCACGAACGGCACAGAGCAGCTGGCACCGGGGGCAGAAGAATGAGAAGAGATGTGGGTCCAGGAGATGGAGATCGTGTCTGGGGCCAACCTGCTTCTGGTCAGCATCTGGCCCCGTGGCGCCGAAGGACAGACCAGGGAAGGAGGACACACCCCACGCCCCCTCGGGATGTGAGCCACGGAGGGTGTCGCACCAGTGCACACAGCACAGCGCCCGTGTTCTGCAGCGTCACTCCCCCGGCCACAGTCGCCAGCAGGATGAGGGGCTGCAGGCTTCCCACACAGGGACCACCACAGAAGCCCGCCATGCAGCTCTCACACGTGACCTGTCGTGAGAGGGTGACGGTCCCAGCACAAGAGGCGAGCGAGACCGAGCACTGAACAAAGAAAACAAAGGCGCAGCTCAACAGCCAGTGGTGAGGTCAATGGGATCCTAAGGCAGCCCGTCACCGCCAGCCCCCAAGATGCCGGTGTGCACGTGCACGTCAGCACACACGTTCTCCAAAGCACCCTCAGCTGGCGCCCCGAGCCTCTTGTTGTCGCAAGGCTCACACTGTGACGCCAGGCAGCCTGAGAAAGGCACCCCCAGTGTGAACTTAAGAAAACTAAAGTATCAACTATTCGTACGTGTCCCTATTATCACAGAAATTATCTTCCAGAAAAATGTATCTAAAAACAGTCTTAGGTAAAAAAAAAAAAAAAAAAAAAAAAAAATCAATGGAGACAAGGCAGGACTATGAATATTATACACAAGTAACTCTCCTGCCTTTCTATATCCAAAGATATTTGCTTCTATTTAAATAGCAACAAAAAGTGCCCTAACCGGTTTGGCTCAATGGGTAGAGCATCAGCCTTCGGACACAAGGGTCTGGGGTTCAATTCCGGTCAAGGGCATGTACCTGGGTTGCGGGCACATCCCCAGTTGGGAGTGTGCAGGAGGCAGCTGATCGATGTTTCTCTCTCATCGATGTTTCTGTCTCTCTATCCCTCTCCCTTCCTCTCTGTAAAAAATCAATAAATAGCAACAAAAAAAAGTGGATTTGATTCTGTATAGTTTACTTTATACACATGTGGCAATTATTTTTAATAAGATTGTAAAATGTTCGCATAAATTTACTTTAAATTGCATTTAAAAAATGGTCTCCAAAATAAAAAGCTCAAAGACATCACATCCTCAATTACACCCACCTCAGCAGAGGGAGGAACTTGGGACACGTGCTGCTTACAGGGTCAGCAGCGCCTCAGGCACCTGCAGCCAGAGGTCTCACGGGGGACAGGAGGCTGCAGGGCCTCCGGCCTTGGACGCCAAGGTCACCCAGCCTGGAGCTGGCCTTGCTGCACCTGCGTGTACTCAGGACCCCAAACATGGGCCCACGCTCGTACCAAGTTCGCATTTCCTCTACCCAACAACAGGACACCCCACTTGAGACGTGCTAAAGGCCCCTCAAATTCCACAACATCTGAAACCGAGGCTGTCGCCCCTCAACTCCCGCCTCAGCCAGAGGCCTCGCACAGCTCAGGATGCGCTCAACACGCCAAGGCCGCCCACCTTGCGTCCCCGGTCCAGCCACGCCTGCCCGGCCCACGGCAGCCGCTGAGGGCCCACCGCCCCTCCCCCAGCTTCTCCCACGGCCCTGCCACTGTTGGACCAACAGGCCTCTCAGCCTGGGTCTGCCCAACGCTCCTTCACAACAGAGCAGGCTGCACCGCTAGCTCCTGCATCTCCCTCGGGGTCCTCCCAGGACCCACACCAATTCCACGCTGGCCTCACATCTCTCTCGGCCATGACCAGGTGCGTGCTGCCTGCTACCCACACGGCACCCCAAGCCAGGCCCCCTCGCTGAGAGGAGCCGCCCAAGCTGACCAAGGCCTGCCTCCCCAGGCAGCACACGAGAAGCTGCGCTCTCCCTGCTGAAGGAACACCTATCGCTCCCTGGGACTGGCCATGTCCACCTTCTGAACATGAAGCTTACCATCCAGACTCCTGAAGACGAGTAAATGCCAAAGCAGGCAAGAGGCCAGAGCCGCTGTAGATAAACAGTTACATCTGGCTGGTGATTTTTAGACAACTGTCTCTATTTAAACTGGACCACATCTGTAATGCTTCAGCGTGGTCTTCGGTTGTTTTACTTGGAACGACTCCTAGATTTCTAGTGTTGCTCATACTTACTTTCTGTGCTAATAGGATAGCCCTTCCATGGCCCGACGAGTGTCAAAACTAACAGGCTGTGGCACCTTTATGAGAAAGCATAACATAAATGTGGTGTCGCTGCCACACCAGATTCCCTAAACCGTCACCTGAACACAGCCGCCGACAGCTCTGGGTAAGACCGGGCAGCGATTGCATAGCCGGAGGGAATTCTGGGTGCTGACTGCTGAGTCCCAATTTATCGGTCCGCCAGACAAAATCAATTTCAAAACAGACAACTATGAATGACAGCAGTCAGTACCTCGATGTCCACTTCGTGCAGACATCCCACCCAACGACACACTTAGGGATGCTCGGGGCCACCGGGCAGAAGGTCAGGCCCATGTGGACAGAGCCCCACCCTCACCTGCTCACCACCCAAGGTCCCTGAGCGGCTGGGGGAGCCACTGCCATCACCCCCCCAGAGTCTGACCCTATTTGAGAAGCCCAAGTGTCTGATCCCAAGTCAAAGTGAGATCGTTTCGTAAGTGACATTTTGTTGGCTGGGAAGGTCCGTCAGCAACGAGGACAGGACACAGATCGCGGACTTGTGCTCCACTAATGGACCACTGCCTCGATGCAGAGGCCTTCATAAGGTTTGATTGGCATTTATTTTGGGGAAAACTGACAGCCTAGTAAGTCCAACCATAGGTCCATCTGGCCCACTTCTCGGTCTCAAGTTGTGGGAAAAGATCAGTTGTGAAAGGGCTAGGAACTGTACACCTGACATGAGCCAGACCAGTGGGGAAGGGGGCTGTGCTTTCTGGGTGCCAGGGAACCCCAACTTTGTCCCTGGCACCCAAACATGCCCCTGGATTGTGTCCTCGAGCAGCTGCCCAGCCCACTGACAATGTGAAGTTGCTGGACTTCGCAGAACTGAGTCAGAGAAATAAAGACTCCAGCCCGCCTGGCCACAGGAGCCTCACTGCCAGCACCACCCACACACCTGGCAGAGCCCCGCCTGCCTTCATTCCATCCTCAGCACAGCCTTCCTCATCTATCCCAGTGGTCGGCAAACCATGGCTCGCGAGCCACATGCAGCTCTTGGCCTCTTGATTGTGACTCTTCCACAAAATACCACGTGTGGGCGCGCACATAAGGTGCGATTGAAACTTCATGGCCCATGCACAGAAGTCGGTTTTCGGCCTGGGCAAGTCTATTTTGAAGAAGTAGCGTTAGAAGTTTTTTTTCTGAAACAAGTATACAAGACGAGTGTGGACGGGAGAGTTAGAAGGGGTCGACCTCAGTGAACATACCTCAATCAGATTGAGGACGTTTTTAGCAAAGGCCAGCTTAGGAGGACCCTAATGACGTTAATAACAATGTACCTACCTAGATAGTTTAAGTTTAAAAAATTTGGCTCTCAAAAGAAATTTCAATTGTTGTACTGTTGACATTTGGCTCTGCTGACGAATGAGTTTGCCGTCCACTGGTCTATCCTGGCACCATCCTACTCAGGAACCTCTGATGGCCCCTCCGTAGCACCTGCAATATCGGGGACTGACACTCGAGTGCAGAGAAGAAGTGGCTACCAGCACTCCAGAGGCTGTGCGGCTGGACGGGGTCTGACAGGGAACCTGAGCCATCCCCGAGTGGCAGTGGGAACCCTTTCCTCGTGCGTCACTAGAAAGG